AAAATGAACAATAGAGAGAACAATAGAGTAGCCACATTATTACTCTCGTGTTTGAACATCTGTCCGTCCGTCCGTTAGAAATTTGGTTTCCGGAGCATAGTTAAAGTTACAGTCGGCCCACAACATTCAATCTTCATAGGATGATTGTCCTTATTGGGTAGAAGACACCCAATATGGACAATCATCCTAATCAAGACCCCTATTGATTTTGGGGTCACAAAGTCAAAAGTCAAGGTCACTTACCTTAAATGACAAATTTAATCACCATTATATAAGGTAAAACTTCTTTAAAGCGATATTGAAAATACAGCAAAAAATGTGCTTTACCGCCTTTTATCAATTATTAATAATATGCAAATTCAATTAATATGTCCCCCTGTGAAGAAGATAATGCAAGAATTGAGTACATTAATTTGAAAGAGAAAGAAGAAAATCTAAAGTACAAAATTGATATTCCAGGTCTAATAGTTGACAAAGAGAATCCTTTTTTAGCAGCCTCCAGCGATGGTGTAGTGGTTGGATCCAAAGGTCCTGAAGGTCTCATTGAAATTAAGACTTTATTACAGAACAAAAAAGAAAGCAATGATCAAAGAATCTGCAGAAAATGATAAAGCCCTTTGTTTGTCAGTGCAAAATGGCATAATTCAACTGAAAAAAAATCATAAATATTTTTACCAAATACAAGGTCAGATGAATATTATGAATTACAAATGGTGTGATCTAATAATGGGAAAGTTTCTAGATAATCCAGCAGAGTTATCTCTGCAGAGCCCCTGACAAATAAGAGGTATACACCTGTATGCTGGCTATCTCTGTGTATAGCTGGTTTACATTGAATTTCAATGGGAGAATGCAGAGTATGTAATCAACTTTGATATAATTAATAAGCTAAAGTTTATATTTCAAAATAAACTGATTAACACTGCAGTCTTATAAATGGTGAATTACTGCTGTGTTCCACTTTGTAATGGATTTGGAGGGTTTCATTTTCCACAAGACAAAATATTAAAGAATAAATGGAGAGTAGAAGTAAAGAAGGGTGTGCATGGTAATAAAATGAAATTATGGTCACGCACATTTACCATGCCAATAATGCTCAAATTCTCATAATAATTGATAATAATTATCACCCCTTGATCATCAAGAACAAAATTACTATACAGCACCCGTTTACTTTATAAAATATATTTTATATACCGGTAGTAATAGTAATTTTCTTGTTGCCTGTAGACAGAGACAGGTGCATAGCATCAAAACTGATACATGTGGAACGGGTAATAGGATTTGCAAAGCAATTGAAAATTCTGAAATCAGAACTTCCTGCAGCTATATTTAAACAGGGGTCACATATTTCATACGTCTGTTTCATGATTCTAAATTGTTGACAAACTAGCTTGATTGTAGAAAATATTTAAGTGATTTGCGTACTAGAATTGAATATCATGAATCGTACAATACGTAGTTGATACTCATTAACAATAAAGACAGATATATAATGTGAAGATTTTAGTATTTCAGACACACATAATCATGATTATGTCACGTTTAAATGCACATACAAGTACATCTTGCCTTTATACATGTAATAAAGTATGTAAAACTGAGCTAATGGCCCCGGTAGCAGATTGGGTTCTAAATTTCTGTCATACGTCTCCAATCTGTAAAAATTATATAACTATATGCATTTTATTTACTAAAGAACAAATTTTATTGATTATATTTATTTAAAGCATCATAAATTTACAAATATACCAAAATAGATTATATCAAACATATTGTATAATTCACTTTAATTAGTTCTACGTAAATTAAAATGTATATATTTTAAAAGTTTTAACAGGAAAGTGTTGATTATTTCTCAAAGATCAGTTTCATACTTTTATTCAGTCTACATTGTCTACGTTGTTCAGTTGAAAAATAAAACAGTTTATATGTTTAAGATTTAATGTAATATATTCAATTTGTTAAATATAATTACCTTAATATTAAATGATAAAATATTTTATTTCTGCTGCTGAAGCATCTTTGCTAATTAATTATTTCTTTAATTTAACAACTGACCAGTCAAAATACTCTGAAACTTTCTATAAATCTCTGTGTTTACATCAAGTGGCCGTAGTTTGTATACCTCTTATTTACTACTTCCGCTTATCAGTAGAGTGTGGGAAACTCCCCCATTCAAAGAGTAAATCCACATGATATGTTTATTCAATGCATAAACTGTGATACAGAATTATGGAGAGAAGTTATGATTCTGAAATTAAAAGCTTTTTATTTCACACACATGTTACCTGAATAAGCAGTTGCAAGATTTAGTACTCTATCTGGAATAAGAAAACATGAATTACCATGGATATGTTCCAAATAAATGTGCTACTCATTTCTTATGCTAGTATTTTTTTTTCAAAATATTTATATGTGCTTACATATATATCATCCTATGTAATAATTTTCTATGTATAAAACTAAATTGATATTTATTGAAATCTGTATCTGTTTCCTAATCTATCAATTTTATATTTTACAGTTTTCTGATACATCATGCAAGAGATCGGAAACACAGTACTCCAAGAGAAGTTCAGTTGATAAATTGGACCAAAAAGACTGGAATACTCAGATTAAGACAGACACAGATATTTACATTGCAATGCCTTTCATGCCAACACAATCAAGTAAAAGGTGATTTATTTTATTGTTTATAACTATATATAAGTAAGACTTTCAAAGACAGGTTAAATAACAAATATCACAAAGGTGTACTCTTCTAAGAGCAGTCAATTTGTTCAGGAAGAAAGTTTTAAGTCAGGTGGTCTTAATTAACAGGTAATTCTGCTTGTTAAATCATGGAAAGGGACAATTGAAATGTGTTTTTAAGTACATTTGGTATCTAGCAGTACTTAGTAATGTTTAGATTGCACTGAATACATGTATAAATAAGTATTTTAAATGATGTTTAGAATTTTCATTTAACCCTTAATTGAATTTTAGAATTTTTGAATGAAGCTGTTTTGTTAATTTAAGTTCATGTACTTCCCTACTGTGTACTATAAAACAAATGCTAAGAAAATATTGGGCAGTGCATGCAATCCTTTCATATCATGATGATTATAAACTCATATTATTGCCTTTATAGACTATAAGCACTTGTAAGGTGTTCTCAAAGTAACTTTTGTTTACTATTTTTAGCTCGACTATTGGAAGAATATGAGAGCTATTGTAGTCGCCCCAGCGTCGGTGTCTGTGTCCACGTTGGCGTCTGCGTTTGTTTAAGTTTTTTGTAAAGTCAAATATCACAATTACTGCTTGAGATATTCAATTGAAACTTACAATTCTTATTTATAGTAACAATGTACATTAGATTGACAAGTTTAATAAATCTGCCTACAATATTTACAGAATTATGCCCCTTTTTAACTTAGAAATTTTGGTTAAAGTTTTTTGTAAAGTCAAATATCTCAATTATTGCTTGAGATATTCAATTGAAACTTACAATACTTAATTATAGTAACAATGTACATCAGATTGACATGTTGGATAACTCTGCCTACAGTATTTACAGAATTATGCTCCTTTTAATACCCCCGCACAACTAGGGGAGTTGTAAGGGGGGTATACTGGAATCAGCTTGTCCGTCCGGCCGTCCGTTCGTCAGTACGCACTCACAGGAGAGTAATTATGTGGCTAGAGGGACAATAGGTAACTGTTCTTTCTCTTTGATGTCATTCATTCCGTAATGCTTTTATGTGGCTATTTTCTTTTGTGTGGCTAAAAGAACAATAGAGAGAACAATGGAGTAGCCACATTATTACTCTCCTGTTAGAATGTCCGTCCGTCTATCTGTCCGTTCGTCTGTCCGTCCGTTGTCTTGTCCGGAGTATAACTTGAAAACCCTTGGAGATAATTTGTTTAAACTTCATACAGTGGTAGAGGGCATTGAGGGGGACTGCAGTGTCAAAGAACAATAACTCTATTTTGCCCGGTTTTTGAATTATCTCCCCTGATAGAGAAATCTTGTCCGGGACATAACTCTTAAACTATAAAAGATATCAACATGAAACTTTGTAGGTGAATAGATCTCATTGAGTAGAAGAACAGTGCAAAAGAATCATAACTCTGTTTAGCCTCATTTTTGAATTATCTCCCCTTATAGAAAAATCTTGTCCGGGACATAACTCTAAAACTATAAGAGATATCAACATGAAACTTTGTAGGTGAATAGATCTCAATTGGTAGATGTGCAGTGCATAAGAACAATAACTCTTTTTGTCCTTATTTTGGAGTTATTGCCCTTTGTTAATTTTAACACTTTGAACTTTGTCCGGAACATAACTCTAAAACTATAAGAGATACCAAAATAAAACATTGTAGGTAGATATATCTCATTGAGTAGAAGTGCAATGCAAAAGAACCATAACTCTGTTAAGCCTCATTTTTGAATTATCTCCCCGTTTAGAAAAATCTTGTCCAGGACATAGCTGTAAAACTTTAAGAGATATCAACATGAAACTTTGTAGGTAGATATATCTCAATGGGTAGATGTGCAGTGCACAAGAGTCATAACTCTGCATTGCATAATTCTGGAGTTATTGCCCTTTGTTTATTTTTACTTTTTGAAGTTGTCCGGGACTTAACTCAGAAACCATAAGAGATATCAACAAGAAACTTTGTAGGTTGATAGATGACTTTGATTAGAAGTGCAGAGCAAAGAACAGTTACTCTTCCTTGCCTAATTTTGGATTTTTGCACTTTGAACTTTTTCCACGACTACAAGAGGTATACTTTCCTGTGTCCAAAACCTATTCGGGGAGCATCACCCGGCTCAAACCGGGCTCTTGTTTTTATACTTTCCTGTGTCAAAAACCTTCTCGGGGAGCATCACCCGGTTAAACCGGTTCTTGTTTATCATTAATTTGTGTGAGTATCCCTTTTATATATGTGCATTGTACGAGGAAAATATGTTGTAAATTATTGCTTTAATTCAATGTCTTTTTTCTATCAAGGAAATACAGGCAGACAAGCTGGAAAGTAAAGGCAGACTTTGTGGGAAACGTGTTGAAAGAAATAAGATGCTCAGCTGATGTAAATTACTAAAATGACACATTAATGTGAAGTTTGTGATAACACATATAATCAACAAAGTTCTCTGAACACACATGCAAATACACACTGGCGAGAAAAATCATAAATGTATTATGTGTGATAAAGGATTTTCTCTACAAAGTAATTTGAACATTGATATGGAAATACACACTGGCGAAAAGAATCTTAAATGTAACATGTGTGATAAAGGATTTTCTAAACGGAGTAATTTGAACAAGCATATGACAATAAACACTGGCGAGAAGAATCATAAATGTAAAGTGTGTGATAAAGCATTTTCTCAACAAAATCATTTGAACCAGCATATGACAATACACACTGGTGAGAAGAATCATAAATGTAAAGTGTGTGATAAAGCATTTTCTCAACATAGTAATTTGAACCAGCATATGACAATACACACTGGCGAGAGGAATCATAAATGTAAAGTGTGTGATAAAGCATTTTCTCAACGAAGTGATTTGAACAAGCATATGACAATACACACTGGCGAGAAGAATCATAAATGTAAAGTGTGTGATAAAGCATTTTCTCAACAAAGTAATTTGAACCAGCATATGATAATACACACTGGCGAGAAGAATCATAAATGTAAAGTGTGTGATAAAACATTTTCTCTACAACATATTTTGATCAGGCATATGAAAATACACACTGGTGAGAAGAAACATAAATGTAAAGTGTATGATAAAGCATTTTCTTTACAAAGTAATTTGATCAGTCATATTACAATACACACTGGCGAGAAGAATCATATATGTAAAGTGTGTGATGAAGCATTTTCTGAACAAATTGATTTTAACAAGCATATGACAATACACACTGGCGAGAAGAATCATATATGTAAAGTGTGTGATAAAGCATTTTCTGTACGATGTAATTTGAACCAGCATATGACAATACATACTGGTGATAAAAATCATAAATGTACACTGTGTGATAAAGCATTTTCTCAACGGGGATCTTTGATCAGGCATATGAAAATACACGCTGATGAGAAGAGTCATAAATGTAACGTGTGTGATAAAGAATTTTTTCAACAAGTATATTTGATCAGACATATGACAGTACACACTGGCGAGAAGAATTATATATGTAAAGTGTGTGATAAAGCATTTTCTCTGCAACATAATTTGATCAGGCATATGAAAATACACACTGGCGAAAAGAATCATCAATGTAAAATTTGTGGTAAAGCATTTTCTCAAAGCAGTATTTTAAACAAGCATATGACAATACACACTGGAAAGAAGAGTCATGAATGTACAATGTGTGATAAAGCATTTTCTGTACAAAGTTATTTGATCAGGCATATGAATATACACACTGGGGAAGGTTAATAAAAGTAAAAACTACACGCAAAAAGTGTGATATATTTCGCATGATCAATCAATATACTTTAAAGAAAGTTTTGGCAAAACTTTGAAAACA